CGCGGAGTTGGTTTGTACGGGCGAACTCAAAGAAGTGCCCTGCTCTTAATGAACAACCCTGGCCGCGAACAATTCGGAACGTCCAGAGTAGACTGCAGTTTATTTGTCAATAAGAGAGAGGGAATAGGCCAAGCAAATTCAGCCTCTCCTGATAAGACAAATGCTTTAGACCGTCGACCATCTTTGTCGCTCTGCGTTGCACCTGTTCGAGTAAGTTGATATTCTTCCTCATCCATGGTGAAGCTGCTGGCATTCCATACTCTAGATGAGGCCTTACAAAGACACCAAATATTCTTTCGAAGAGTTCGGGAGGAAATATTTTAAATGCACGTCTGATCCAGTGCAGAGTACTAGTTGCCTTCTGGACCATCTTTCTACAGTGTTCTGATGGCGATAGATTTGTGGTCGTCCATACACCCAGATCTCTGGGTCTTTCCACAGTTTCTAACCTCGTCCCGTCAATATAGAACTGGTGTTTGGGAGAGGCATTGCGGCCGGTGTTCAGGTGCAAAATCACGCATTTGGACACGTTAAACTTCAAAAGCCATCTGTTCGACCAAGCACACAGTTTGTTGATGTTCGACTGCAACTTCTCTGCGTCATCATCACACTTGACTTCACTCCATATTTTTATGTCATCCGCGAACATGAGAGTCTCGCAATTCACTTCGCTGATGCAGCCATTAACATAAATCAGGAAGAGTACTGGGCCTAAGACAGAACCCTGTGGGACACCACTTTCCACCTTTGCCCATTCCGAAGCAGAGTTACCAACGAAGACTCTTTGTACTCTGGAGGACAGAAAACTCCTGATCCATTTAAACATTCATCCTTGAATCCCAACATGTCAGATCTTCTGTAAAAGAAGCCTGTGTGGGACACTGTCAAAGGCCTTCTTGAAGTCAAAAATATGACATCCACTGGAAAACTCTTATCTGTAGCCTCACGGCATGTCACCTTATGAACACTTTTGATCCTACGACGTCCCCACCGGCGAAATCAAGCAAAATCCAGCTTTTCTTGTTGAACCCCATCTCATTTAACTCCAAATAGTCAAGGAAAACACTACTCACTGGAAAACTGTTTTGGAATCTACACTCAGCATGTAGGCAGTTGATAAACCGTCATATATGAAATAACACTACCTATTAAACGATATTTATATGCAAACTTCATGAAAACACTGTTATTAGACGTTATTTTATGTCCACTTTCATATTTACTACGTGTTTGGTATGAGAATACATTCTATACATTCAAAAACGAACTTTACTTTATTAGAGCCATTTCTGACGTTTTCGGGATATTGTCCTTTTCAAAATAAATCGACATTTCTTAACAACGCAACATTGTCTGTAATATTTCTTTTATGTTTTTAATTCTTTTAAACTTGTACTTAATTAACATGGATATTTGACTCATGAAATGGTGTCGGTTTGCGAGTGATTGGCAATCATTTGTAAATTTCGACACATTTCATGAGTTAGGCCACTAACTGTATGTCCGTACAGTCACTGCACTAAATTTACTTTCTACTCCTTCGAACTGACCTTACCAAAGGAACACGACGGTTCTATTGGACCTTCTCCAGGTGTACTAAAATTACCGATATATGAACCATTACAGCGCACAGGAATCGATGGACTAAAGGGTTGTTAAGTGACAGCGAGAGGTGGCAATGGGATCATCTTAAAACGACTTTTAAGGCGGTTCCCAAAGGCATTATCATCTTTGCGGGGTTGCACAGGCCTTACCCCGGACACCTGCTGAAATGTTGTGCTTCTCGCGCGTACTGGCACGTGTGTACCAATGTCGGTCTGGTTCACGGTCCATCCCAGCTATTCAAACCGGTCATTCAACTTCGAGGCTAACTCAGACAAGCTCTCGCCCAAAGCTTTTTGACGTCTGTCCTCGTCCAGCTGTCAGCTGCCTACAACCTACAATCCACTCAATTTACGCGGAATACAATGCCCTATCTACTGGCGTCTGACTTCACATCTTCCTATTCAGAACCTGACCTGAAGGTCAGCTGATGGCTTAAACTGCAACGATATGGTAAGCCTGGCACGAGAAAGAAACACATTTTGAGACAGGCCTTGCGCCTAGTTGTCTTGGAGTATGATGATAGTGCGGGAAGGGTGAGACCGCTGCTGAGCAATGTTTCCTCTCTACAATCCAATAAGTCCAAGTCCGGCTCGTAAAGAAGATTGATGCGCGTTGGATAGAAAGACACTTACTCACAAGTTTGCACTTAGCTGACCGCTGCATTGCCCGGAGGGTTTACATCTTTCCTAAAACCGTATTTGGTTCTACCGAATTCAACCAATTCCCTAAAATATGGCACCCCTTTTAAAAGTCAAGCCAAATCAAATCACAACAGTGTGTTTCACTGTTTTTTTCCTCAATAACTCTTGGATACTAACACTGGGTTTAGATTGGGAATGCTGCGAGGTTCGGACTGACAATTCAAGAAATAAGAAGCCCTTTTCATTTCTCAAATACTGGGTTTAGACCATTATTTGGTGGAATTTCAGACACTTAGGATGGTACAGCTGATAAATGCTTCAGGTCACTTTCTTCTTGGCTGATGTAAATCCTGCTTTCGTTAAACTTATTGGTGCGGAGGCAACCTAAGCCAAATGTATAACTGGGCTGAACGCTTGCCCGCTACTTCTGCCTATTTTTTTTCGAAGAAAAATTCGTCAACTGCACGTTACCTGAAAGCCATGACAGAAAGAGGCTGTTGACTGGAATAACCTCCGTTATCGCACTTATCAAGATGAGTGTCTTTATGGGCGTTTATATTGATATCACTCGTCCGACCTGCGTCCAGACGACAGTTCACTAATTGCATGAAAACTTGCTGGTAGCTTTCGACGTAGAAGGACGTGAAAAAAAAACCTTTTTACGTCGGTTTGTGTCCAAAAGTAGGGGCGACAGGGGAATACGGACCTGTGTGTTACAGGCGGCCTTACGGTGAATTCCAGGGGATGTTGGGGTTGGGAGGGTTAGTGTTAGGACTAGGGCTAGGGTCAGGCGTTGAGCACGAGAACAAGTACCCCTTGAGGTTTAGTGCGGGACCACCTGCAATGCGGCGGCCACCTATTCCCGTGTCATGCCACTTGGTTTCCACAAGTAACTAAGGAAAAATATGCGAACGTAGGAGGCTTAACTATTGCCAGTCTATCACTACTGGCCCACCACACGTCAGATTGGCTGGGGGTTTGGAAGTTGGCCCGATTAAGTTAGACCCCCCAAAGTCCAGCCCTTAGGGTCACAAACTACCAGACAAACTTCGAAATCCCTCATAATTCTCAATTTCCACAATTACATTAGTAATAGATGACTTGATTTATGTAAGTCTCCGTTGTTTCATATTGACCCAACTGTGAAAAACTCGGCGCCTCGGCGCCTCGGCGCCGAAACATCAATGAATCTCCGTTGTTTACTTGTTGAGAAGATATCCGCTCCTCCGCCGAACGTCTCGAGCACTGGTGTTTGTGCTCCCTCCCCCTGTTCACGCACCGATCGTGCTCCCAACGAACGGCTGCACCATCGGTCGTGATCACAATGGGTTAACTACGTCTGATACAACAGCTACGGTTAAGGCCAGCAGACTCTAATTAGTACGACAACATGCCAGTTCTCGGTTAGGGAGAGAAGTTAGACACCAGCGGAAGGAGAATTTTAGTCTCTACAGAAGGGGCGAAGAATAACTGGAGCGGTCATCCTCTGTTGGCAGATGCTCCGTTGGGGTGCAGGCGTGAGTATTCCATGAGAAAAAGATTGGTTGATGAGAAGAGCAGCAAAGTTCAGATAAGCTAGCGCGGTAGACTTGTACAGGGCGAGAGGGAGGAAACTACATGGGTCGCAGCTGCTCACCATATGTCTTTCAAACTCTTCTGCCCAGATGACACCTCAAAGGGCAACCGCATCTCCTTCTCAACCACATCCTGCGACTTACATTTTCGTTTGCACCAGATGGTTTGTTTGTGCACCGCTCAGGTGTGTTGGCGAACTTTTACAGAACTTTACAAATTTATGACAACGGCGTCGACATGGTCAACTGACTACATGGAAGGAGGGCGCAGTAAAGGCTGACTTAGAGCAAGCTTCTAACGACGAAGTTTATGATTCTCATGGTTGCATACTAGGCGGCCAGATCTTGTCCCTGTTGGTCTGCCGAAGATCGCCTATAGTCAAAGACGAGGATCCGAGGTGGAGTCAGCCTGCAATATGTGATCGTCTAAATTAGTCATGGTGCCCGCCCTTACAAGTAAAAATGCGTAATACGCTACGTCCTCCACTACTTTTTTCATTCAGTTTAGAAATGGTGCTGGGGCTGACTCTGTGTCACAGGAGGGCAGGTAGAACAGCATACGGCAGTACACACTGTTGGTCAAAAATGGACCCATCCCCAGTTAATGCTGCAAATCAGTGACAGCCAAGTCATAGTCGTGCGCTACTTAAATTTGTTTTAGGAAAGGACGCAATATGCAACCCAAATTTGCATATTACTTATTACTGCCCACTGATTCTTACGAAAGAGGCGCTGTTTAATTTGGGCGCACTGATTGGCTATTTCAAGATAACGAATTTTCGCCTAAATATCACATTCAGCTTATTTGTCGGTTGGTATACACGCCAATTTGGTATACTTTACCTTTGCTGACCACCGTGGCGGCTTCCCTGTGTTCCGCTCTTCTGCGTCATTATGTCGTGCCGTTGGGTCAGAGTTCCTACTTTACTCATATGGGCTTATTCGTCCTTGAGTTTCTATTAGCTGTTTCGCTGTCTTGGTCTCGGACTTGGGGGCTTATTATGCAGGCGCTATATTTAGCTTCCTTTGGTTTTTTGGTGTTAAATTTCGCTAGTATTCAATTTTCCGGGTCGTTTTCAAGGTCATGCACGAATCTGTTGGAACCTATTCACAGAATTAGAGCATTTTTCCAAACTACATCCTTCTTCGCAGCTCTCTTTCCTATTCATTAGCCCCACCCATGTACCCCTACTTCCAACGGTCCCGTAAGACACGATGACCTATCCTCCGCATTCTGAGTGGGGTCGCATATTGCGTCGATGCCTTGTTTTACTTCCTATCAGGCCACTTCAAAGGAAGTTGAGCAAAAGCCAAAGAGTGAAAGTAACTCATCGGGTAGACGAACACTTATGTAGAATTAAAGCTCCAACCAGACGAGGCATGCAGCAGATTAGATATGAGATTTGTTTTTGTTCTACCACAGTTCAGGCAATTGAAAGAGCGGATCTGGGCAGGGAACACGTCGACGGTCTGAGAACCAACCTTTGAACGGTCTTAAAAGTGCTCTAGAAGATTTAGGTTGGGAGAACCAAAGATGAATCAGGGGCAGCTGATACTGTGGCAACTTTTGAAATCTCGGGAGGAGCGGCATCAACGAAACTGAAAGGCTTGACAACATTGACAGTGGAGGCAACTACAACACCTCCATCCAGCGTAAACCATTTAATTTCTCATCCAAGAAAATCATATTGCTTGCTCCTGAGCTCCGAAAAGCTGTCCAAACGTGCGCGGTAGCTTTATCAGGTTGCATAATCGTCATATTAATTCCCTTAAAGAATCATTCGTCCATCCACTTCCAAATCCAGTCTTTCCGATAATCATTCTGGGTCGTAACTATGACCTTTCGGCCCATTGCCATTGGGGAGGACGTCATAGGCAAAGTAGCACAGTCCAATCCCAGAAGGTTCATTTGCAGTTTTTACTAACCACGTAGGTCCAATTAGTCATTGCGAAAGTGGCGTACTCCGGCGTCCTTAGTGTGGGACACATGTGCGTGTACGTTAAGGACAGGTTGGTCGGTCCAGACGGGGTGGTGTAGGGGTGTCCAGCGGTGGGTTTACGTGACGGACGCAGTAGATCACTCAACTGCTTGCAGGTGTAAACTACGCCTGGCGTTCATTTTCTGACACCCAACTCTTACCTATGACTCTCCGAAATTAGGCTCTGCTTAGCGGCCACACCCCGGTAGCGGCAACGACCGGCGGGCTAAATCAGGTGAGGGTATCCGTGTGCGCATATCCGCACACGGTAATCTTGGATTCGCTGACTGGATGGATCACCGCATCGGCATCGTCGAGACGAGGCTCCGTCTGACACACTGTAGGAGGCCACAATGTAGGTGAACCCCCAGGTAAGCGAACATTGCTCTGCTGCCTTTGCTTTGCTTGTTCCCGTTTGCCTGCAGTCTGTCTGCTTATTCGTATTTGTCCTTGTTGAAAGATAAACGATGTTCTGTTGGATTTCCTCTGTTGCCTTTGCTTCTTGTTGTTCCTGCCTACTTGTTCCTGTCCGTACTTAATACAAGCTAAATGTCGATCTGTTGATTGTGCCTACTCACCGCTTATATCTCGGCAACCAGTTAACCTAGAGAATGACGGGAGAGCACTGCATCCCGTCTCTCTACCCTCCCATACCCTCCGTCTCCTCCCCCCCTTCAGCTTACAGCGAAATCAGAAACAACACACTCTCGTCCCCCTCCCCCTCCCCCGCAGCCCCACTCGCTAGACTAGTACGGTGAGTCTACTCACTCTGGCAGCCTGGAATGTTCGTTCCCTTCTAGACAATCCGAGGACCAACCGACCGGAACGAAGGACGGCGCTAGTGGCTTGTGAACTGGCGCTCTACAAGGTGGACGTCGCTACACCCAGCGAGAGCCGGTTCTCCAAACAAGGCCAACTGGATGAGGTGGGTGCCGGCTACACCTTCTTCTGGAGCGGTCGACCCAAGGCAGAGCGACGGGACGCGGGTGTCGCCTTTGCCATCCGGAACGACAACGTGGGACGCCTGCCCTGTCTGCTGTCGTCGTCGTCGCCGCCGCTGATGTGACAACCTCCGTGGAGAACCGATGGTGTCCACTGCGGGGCAGTCGAAGGTCCTGGCGTCCTCGGTTGCGCACGTCGTCAACACCAGGACTGGCTCGATGACAACGATGCCGCCATCAGAAACCTGCTCATCAAAAAGAACCGCCTGCACCGATGACAACGAAGCTGCTTTCTACCGCACTCGCCGCCTTGTGCAACGGCGGCTGTGTGAGATGCAGGAGGCCTGGACAGTTCGCAAGGCTCAGGAGATCCAAGGGTACGCGAACTTCAACGAATGGACGAACTTCTACGACGTGAGAAAAGCTGTCCATGGTCCGCCAACTAAAGCAATTGCTCCTCCTCTCAGTGCCGACGGCAGCACCCTACTCACTGAGAAGACACAAATTCTACAGGAAATGGCCGAGCACTTCAGAGGCGTCCTCAACCGTCCCTCCACAATCTCCGACGCCGCCCCCGCCCGTATGCCTCAAATGGAGACCAACGCCGACCTCGACCTACCGCCCTCTCTCCACGAAACCATCAGGGCCGTGCAGCAGCTCTCCAGCGGGAAAGCGTCCGGATCGGACGCGATCCCTGCTGAGATCAAAAGGCACGGTGGACCCCATTTCATGGATCATCTGAGGGCGCTCTCCCAGGAGATGTGGCGTCAAGGAGAAGTCCCGCAAGATTTCAAGGACGCCACAATCGTGCATCTATACAAGCGGAAAGGAAATCGCCAGCTCTGTGACACTCATCGAGGCATCTCCCTGCCCAACATTGTCAGGGAGATCTTTGCTCGCATCCGTCTCAACCGCCTTAACCACCATCTGGAAGAAGGACTCCTGTCGGAAAGCAAGTGCGGCTTCCGCCGTCATCGTGGAACCACGGACATGATCTTCGCCGTCCGCACACTGCAGGAGAACTGTCAGGAAATGCGGACCCACCTCTACTCTACCTTCCTGAATCCGATGAAAGCCTTCGATACGGCGAATCGTGAGGGACTAACGAAAATTCGGCTGCCCCGAACGGTTCACTGAGATGGTGCTTCAGCTCCACGACTACATGATGGCACGAGTCACGGACAACGGAGCTGTCTCAGATGCATTCGCAGTGATCAGGAGCGTGAAGCAGGACTGAGTCCTCGCGCCTACCCTCCCCAGTCTCATGTTCTCTGCCATGCCGATGGACGCCTACCGTGACGAACGCCCTGGGATCCTCATCACCTACAGGACGGACGGCCAACTCCTTAACAGCCGACGGATGCACTTCCAGTCGCGCTTATCCACAAACACCGTCCAAGAACTTCTCTTCGCCGACGACTGCATCCTCAACGTTACCTCGGAAAGGGAGATGCAAAAAGGATATATCTCTTCGCAGCCACCGCCGCCGTCTGCGACAACTTCTGCCTGATCATCAACACGGAGAAGACGGTGGTTATGCGTCAACCGCCACCTGTCATTGCCTACGTCGCACCCAACATCCGCGTGAACGGTGCCCAGCTGCAAGTGGTGGACAACTTCTCGTATCTGGACAGCACCAAAATCGACGGTGAAGTGGCCCACCGGATTTCCCAGGCCAACCAAGCCTTCGGTCGTCTTCAAAACACTGTTTGGATTCGTTACGGTCTTCAACTCAGCACGAAGCTGAAGATGTACAAGGTCGCCATTCTACCGACGTTGCTGTGTGGGAGACTTGGACGGTGTACATGAAGCAGGCACGTAGACTCAACCACTTACATCTCAGTTGTCTTCGTCGGATTCTGAAGCTGAGGTGGCACGACTGGATTCCCGACACGGATGTGCTGGAGCGGATGGGAATCCTCAGTATAGAAGATGAAGATGCGATCAATGGAACAAGAAGTTTATTTGCCTGACGTTTCGGATTCTCACTCAGAGACCTTTATCTGCGAATGTCTCTGATGATGGATTCGAGTGAGAATCCGAAACGTCAGGCAAATAAACTTCTTGTTCCAGTGATCGCATCTTCATCTTCGGAACTGCTATCTGGAACTCGCCTGTTGGCTTCTATCAGCAATCCTCAGTATCTACGCTATGCTGAGACAACTGGAACTACGCCGAAGCGGCCACCTCGTGCGGATGGACGACGAGAGGTAGCCCAAACGACTCTCCTATGGAGATGTCGCGACGGGTTCATGGCGACAAAAGGCCAAATCCGTCGATACAATGACACTCCGAAGACCCCAATGAAGCGTCTGCAGATCAATCCGGCCAACTGGGAAGACCGAGACCGAGACCGACCGATCTGGAGGAGGACAGCGAAGACAGGAACAGAGATCTATGAAACTAACTGCATCACTGCCGCGAAAACCAAACCCGAGGCTGACAAATCTCAACTGTGCCCACCTCACAACGCCAACGCCACAGAGCCTCCAACGAGTCCACGGTGTCCACGGACATTCCAGGAGCCAATCGGACTTGTTGGACACCTCCGAACCAATTGCAGCATCCGGGCTGCACCAACCGTCGCCTCTTCGTCCACCTAAATTAGCGCTGACCGCCCTCCCGAAGCACCGATTGCATCATCATCATCATCATCATCATCATCATCATCATCATCATCATCATCATCATCATCATCATCATCATCATCATCATCATCATCATCATCATCATCATCATCATCATCATCATCATCATCAT